TGGCCTGAAATTCATCTGATAATCTAACAGACAACAAGCTTGCTTCTTCACGTCAATTATGTAACATTTTGATTGTTATGGTGCATTTTCTTTCTATCAACACTGCTTCAACCACAAAAGGGTCAGCTCACAATTAACCCAACAAACAAATCCAAGTTTCAGTTCTGAAAATCAAAGTAACTTGAATATGAAACTACATAAATTGTGATAATTATTTTCACTGTCAAACTGTTATAAATGTTTTCAGGAATTTAAAGCTTGCATATAAAAAAATAGTGAACAATAAGAATCAAGAATTAGTGCATCTGGACAAGTTCCTTACCATTAGATGTCTCTTTTTCTCAACCAACTCTTCCTTCTCTTTTGGCCTCAGAGAAACTACAAGTTTCCTCAATTTTCTATCAGCAATAACCACGTTCACTTTGATTTTCTGCAAATAGAAGTCCATGAAAACTTGAAAGAGAAATGTTTATTATTAAAATACCAAGTTAATATTTCCAAACCTGACCAACAAAAGAAGACAGGAACTTCAGTTTTTCTTGGTCATAGAGCCTAAGAAGATCCTCTAACTTCATATCCGGCTTATTTTCTACCTCAATTTTTCTATCCGTATTTGGAACAATGCTTGAATCAAGAGAACTGTTCTTTTCTGGGACATTGTAGCTTCCAATTATTCCTAAGTTTTTCTTGTAGAGTGATGGATCCAAGCCTTTCTGTTTCAACCATGACTCAAAAGCTAAGAACTTCCACCTTGCAGCTAGGTTACGGTATGGCAAAAATCCTACCAGAGAGCCAAAAGATACCTGCAAATAGTTGCATGGAATTCAGAGAGGTTGCGTGCAAAAGAACTTGTTGTTCTGCAAATAACATAGTACAAGAGGAGAAAACAAGTCCAAGCAAAGCCCATTTACTACTTTGTCAAATTGGACTTACAATGAAACCTCTTACGCTGAAGCTAATTAACTCAACTTCTACTCTATCTCCTGTCCTAAGCAAATCATCTGCCCTTTTCCAATCAGCAACCTACAAGTCCATAAACTGCCCAGAATTAATACTCAACAGTTATTAATCAAAACCATTACAAGATTTGATAAAGACATAACAATCTCACCTCCAGTGGTGATATGGAAGAGACATCCTCATTAGCATTTCCAAGATTTTCAGGATTTACAAGATTCAAATCTTCTACTCTAGAGGCTGATGTCGCTTCAACATATTGGTCTAATCTATAAAAAGCAGCATGTTAAATAAGGAAAATCTAACAAGAAAACTAGGATAAACGTACAAATGCTTTGGCAGGTAAACATTAATATAAATCTGATGTATGACTCTGCAGACCTCTTTGGTTTCCCTTGCAGTGCAGTTTCCATAGAGATCTTGACAGCAGAATCAACCAAATTGTTATCAGATTGTTGCTTTAGGGCATCTTCCTCTTCAGTGAACTCAATATTGCTCTTCTCTGATGGCTGCCTTCCTTAAAAATCATGCATGGTGTTATTTTTTACAATTCTAGCTCCAACAAAAAAGCCACTAATATGTGCTTAATTTTTACAATTCTAGTTCCAACAAAAAAGCCACTGATATGCACTTTAGCTTAGAACCTAAAAGGTGGGTTCAGATAGGATCACTTACATATTTGAATCTTGCTGTGCATTAAAAAGGAAATGTAAAGAATAAAAGAAGCCCCACAAAATAGCAACACGAAACGAAAAAGATTCAATTCTCACTGAAAGGATTGTTACAAAGCAGCATAGTTTATTACCTGATATGTAGTTATCTTCTACTTCTTGCTCCTCCACAAATGAGGCATCCCCGGTTTCTGAAGACTCTTTGAACTCAATCTTCATAGTTTTGGGTTTTTTTAACAGCGTAAAACCACTATATCTATTCTCACCTTCTTCTTTTTCAACCCTCATTCCAGCACCATCATGATTAACTTCAGTTCCCAAATTGCCAGAATCTGGCTTCTCATCAACACTCATTGGTCGTGGCTTTCTCAATAGTGTCATATCACTAAACTTCTCCTTATTTTGATCATTTCCCATTTTCAATGTTAAATTTGGTAAAATATTCACCCTATTCCTAGATGGCCTATCTTCCACATCATCCTCTACATACAAAGATGGCTTTCTCAAAATAACATTTGGAACACTATGCTTTGCGTTATCCATTGCTTTTTCAACAGGTTGGTTTGATTTCTTTATCTTGGGAGGAGCTACTGGCTTATCCTTTTCTTGAAATTTAAATCCTTCCTTCGGAACCGGCCGAACTAAATTCAAACCATCCAATACATTGGATGGTTTCTTTTTCATTGAAACATCAAAAGGAACCTCCTTTATTTCTATTGCTCTACCCTTATTCTTGTAAAATGATTTCTCAACTTCAAGATATGAAACATCCGGGTTTTCTTTTCTAGCCATTATCTAAGCAACAAAACCACAAATTTAAAATCACCAATATAATCAAATTCAAATTTCAAAGCAACAATTTATGAACATCCTTTTAAAAATGAACTTTGAAGAATTCCTACAAAAAATAGGCATGCTTTCACTTTAAGTATTGAACTATAAATGAAAACTTCAGCTAAAATAAGCATAATTTCCCATTCCTTGAAAAAAAAACACAGCAATTACCTTAGCAAGAGTAAGTTTGGGGTCTTCACCAAGTAAATGACCAAACTTGAGCTCCATTTGGTCCCACTGGTCCAGCTTTGGTTGTCCTTCTTCTTTTGCAGCCAAAACCAAGAACCCATTTTTCCTAGGAAACCATATTTCTCTTCTGCTACTTCTTGCTTTTACTGCAACTGATGGTGAAGGAAACAGTATTTTTCTCACAGAGAAGGAAGATGAAGTGGCTGAGGTGGTGGCAAGAGCAAGACAGTCCATTCTTTTTGGGGGATTGGAAAGAGTAATCTCATCAGATGGTGGTGGATGGCATTAAACTTTGTTTAATGTTTTGCACCCAGCGACTGTGCTTTAAGGAAAAAAATAAAGAGACTTTTCGAGCATAAAAAAGGAAGGGAAGGGAAGAGCTTTATCTAGTTCTCTGGAGTCTCGATAGCGTTTTATGGTTTTGCTACTTTACTTTTACGTCGTATCAGTATATGCCACGTTGTCACCCCAGCCATATTATAGCATGTCACTAGCCTTGCTGCCAGCAATTCACCGGGAGTCTGCTATATTTTTTGAGTAAAAAATAAAGTTCAATACCGCAAGCAATTTTTTTTAAAAAAAGAATTAAATAGTAAATTCAACTAGTTAAAATAAGTTAATCTTATTTTAATCAGGCAAAAATTAATAATGAATGAATTAAGTTAAAAAAAACATAATTAGAATAATTCAAGGAAAAATAATTTTTTTAAAAAAATAAATAATATATTTCAATTCACAATTTATTAGACATAAAAGAATGAAATAGAATAAAAAAGATATAAAAAATTAGTTATAGTTAACTTGAATTAGCATATAAAGTTTGTAATTCTGATAATCAGAATTAAATCAATTCGGGATATGTCATTAGACTTTTAATTCAAAAACAAAATAAAAAAATAATTATAAAGTTTTTTTTTTAAAAATAATTTGTGTTAACCTTTCAAACTGGTGATTTAGTTTATTAAATCTAAAACACCTTATCTAGAAAATCATGAAATTCAATTCTTAACCAATTAAATATTAAATTAAAAATAATAATTAAAATAATAGGGATCAAAATTAAAATACAAAATGAATTTTATATTTGACTGAATAATGAAATTAAAAAGAAATATCAATTTAATAAAAAAAATCAAAAGAGTGAGAATCACCATTAACATAAAAAATTAAAAATAAATTCTTGATTGAATGGTAAAAAATAAAGTTCATTACCGCAAGTAAATTTAAAAAAAAAAATTTAAATAATAAATCCAACTAGTTAAAATAAGTTAATTTTATTTTAATCAGGTAAAAAATAATAATGAATGAATTAAGTTTAAAAAATATAATTAGAATAATTCAAGGGAAAATAATTTTTTTAAAAAAGATAAATGATATATTTCAATTCACAATTTATTAGATATAAAAAAAAATGAAATAAAATAAAAAAGATATAAAAAATTGGTTATGGTTAACTTGAATTAACATATCAAGCTTGTAATTCTGATAATCAGGATAAAGTCAACTCGGGATATCTAACTAGATCTTTAGTTCAAAGATAAAATAAAAAAATAATTATAAATTTTTTTAAAAAAATAATTTGTGTTAACCTTTCAAACTCGTGACCTAGTTTATTAGATCTAAAACATCTTATTTAAAAAATTATAAAGTTCAATTCTTAACTAATTAAATATTAAATGATAAAATTAGAAAAAAATTCAATTATATAAAAGGATTAAAAATAATAATTAAAATAATAGGGATCAAAATTGAAATACAAAATAAATTTTATATTTGATTGAATGATAAAATTAAAAAAAAATCAATTTAATAAAAAAATCAAAAGAGTAAGAATCACTGTTAACATAAAAAACTAAAAATAAATTCTTGATTGAAGGGTAAAATTAAAAACCATAAATTTATAAACTAATTAAAAAATAAATTAGAAATCAAAATAATAAAAATCAAAATTTAAAACATAAAAAAGACATAATTTTTTTAAAATATTAAAAAAAAATTCATCCAGAGCAACAGCAAGGCAATGGCTAGTTATTCAAGTAAAAATTGTCATTTATTGCTTGTCTGGATGTTATAGTTTAATGTCAACATAATATTATATGCCCAACATAAACTATGCTTGTTTGGAATATGATTAATTATCAATTAACGCCTACATGAACTGATTTGGTTTTATATTAATGTAAAATTCACATCTTATAGAATTACAAGGTAGATACTGTCGTCTAACAGGTTAAGTTCCAGGGATTAAATCCTTCATATGGGAAGAAGTTTGTATTGATAGCAAGTGGGATCCTTTCTTTGTTGTTGAAACCACTAATTAGAGAAAGAATGGCCAAGAAAAAATAAATAAAAAGACTTTCTTTTTACCATTTATTTTGTTTAACAGTTTCCCCTTCTCTATGGACACATGCCTTACAAGGAAAAAGGAGAGCAACCACTTCTGTAACCTCAATGTCCCCTTGAGAGGCATGTGAAAGGGGCAATACAGCATTGATAACTAGTTCTGCACATTCTCATGTGCAATGGCTAAGTCAGAGCTAGCTTCTGGTACTGTTAAGTGGTTTTGTTCTGCTTCAGATTTTTCTTCTGGCAAATTTACTGCGTTTTTCTTCATCGTGGAAGTTTTGGTGAGATAACTATAGCTTCCCTTCTGCTTAAACAATTGCGAGAAGTGGGCCTTGCAGTATAGTATACCGTCAAGAGCAGCGTAGGATGATGGTGTGATAAAGCAACCTCCATGAGAGCACCTGAAGCATGACTTGTGAAAGAATTCTCCCTCCACAGTCACCTGTCAAGATTTTGGTTACAGCGATAAGCCTTTTTACTCTCACTCAATCATATTATTTTGATCATTTATTGAACCATCTGAACCAATAGAATAAAATGAGTAAGATTAAATTTGGTTAAGGTGTTAATATTATATTAAAAAATTATTTTAATTTAAAAGTATAAACTGTAGGCAAAGTCTCAAAAATATTTTTATATTACTATCTAATATATTTTTTTAAGTAAAATTAATTTGAGCTTAAAATTTGTATATACAAAAGTTACATTGTATTTAATTTTTATTAATTAGAATAAAAATATTAAAATTTAAACTTATAATTATTTGGTTAATAAGACTCTATATTATATTAAAAAAAATATCTAATTTAGATTGAAATAATTTTTTAACATTTAGTGCATGAAATTATAGGTTATGGCACAACAAAAATATCAATGAGAATTATTCTGACTTTTGCATTTCCATTTGAGTTTGTGCAAATATATACATATAATGGATTAGGAATGAATGTTAATTGGGGAAATAAGAATTGTGAGACAGAGAAAGGGAAGATAAGAAACCTTCTCTAGTGGGTATACAGTTTTTTTACAGGATGCGCATTTGTCCTGGGTGCCAGAGAACATGGAAGAGAGTTTGCTTGGGGCCTTTGTCTGCGTAATTGGGAAAACATACATCAAACTTCAGCAAACAACCTAGAGATTTCCATCAGAAACAAAAGTAGGGTAATGAAAAAGTATCAGTTGTGAGCAATTTTAGTACCAGGCCATTTTTCTTCTCTCCCGCTAACAGCCAGAATGCAGAAACACACTGTTAGCGCTCAAAGGAAAGGTAAAATAGGGAGGACTACATCCTTCTCCGTGGAAAACCAATTCCAAAAGTATGTAAAAGAATTGAACATAAGGAAAACAAAGAAGAGGATCTCACAGGATTGGAGTTTCTTGGTAAAATTGCCAGTCTCCTTGAATAGCTGGTCGTAATGAGGTTTGCAATATAAAACTCCATCGATTGAGGAATAGCTGCTCATCTATAAGAAAAATTTCATGGTGGGTCAAATTCATTAATCCTGTTAAGAGATCATATTCATTAATTCTTAAATGGACAACAGCTACGAAAGAGAGAAGGCATGCGAGGGGGGGAGGATAAGTGGATAGAACTCGTACCACAAGAAGTCCATTGCAGTGGCTGCATTTGAAGCACTTCTTATGATAAGGAACTCCATCAGCAGACACCAATTCAATGAAATAAACAGTTTTATCACAGGCCTTGCATTTCTCTAAGGTCCCAGTGAAACCCATTATGTTGGTCCTAGTGAATCTAAAACCAGCGATATAAAATCTGATATCGGAAGGGATGCTTGGAAAAGCTTTAACAGGAAACTTCAACAACAAATTCTGAAAGTTCCGTTCCACTCTATCTCAGAAGTTAAGATAGATGGAATTCCCAGAATATGTGACCCAGATCAATAAAATGAATGTTCAATGGATGGAGAAAAGGACACGAATCGCTTATTTAAGCTATTGTGACCTAGGGTTCATGTCTCTTGGAAAATGCAAATCACAGTTCTAAAAATAGTGTGGATATAAAGATAGACATGAAGCATTTCCTGACGTAGTCTTTTAAAGATAGTCCTGACAGGAGGCAACAATTACAACTAGAATCCTCCTATTATGTGGTAGACAAATCAGTTATCTCCATATAGATTTTTTACTATATCTAGCAACCAATCTGTAACTTCTAAGTTCTTGTGTGGGCATGACAATAAAGAACTATATTCGCATCCATTTGATTCCAAAATTGATCGGCCAACCACTCAGGAGTCTGCTTATATCCTACATAAAAGATGCAAGCATTGTTCGCAGATATGATTTATATTCATAAATGGATAGGTTGTTGTAATACACTGACGCTACTTATACCTTGAAATAGAGAAAAAAACTTCAATATTTCTTGAAAAGTTTGTGAAAAATTATTCCAATACTTTATTAGTTCATAATACTTTACATGGCTTTAAAAAAATTCATTTATTTATAGGTTAATGTCCCTGAAAATTACTGTCATAAATTCTTTAACTGCTCAGTAGCCATCATAAAAAAGATATGAAGAGATTACATAAACTTGCCTACAAACATCTAACAGGTTCATCTTCATGCAGCCAAATTAGCAGCAATCACTTCCATTCCGTAAAATTCACAAAGCAAATCTCAGAGCCCCTAACAAACCACACAAACATTTGGGAAATTTAGGTTTTATTTACTCTAATGCTTCATTCCTATTTTCCTTCCATAAAGAACAAAAGTCAAAATCATTCCGCTTCGTGCAAAGAGAGTCCTAGAGCTACATAAACAATTAAATCAAGATCAATCACTTAATCACAATCCACAGAAAACCCAACAACCAAACAGTGGCCAAGATTTGAAAACGAACACTTCAAAATAAAAGCACACTGACTGGCCAAAATTTTGATTCTAAAGAAAGAATTTTGATTCTGAACAATATATCACACCACGACAATTTGGCAGTCCGGTAAGAGCCTCAATATCTTTGGACACCAATTCAAGCTCGGTAGGAGAAAGGAACCTGACCCAAAAGCGAAAATTGGTGCATAAAATACGACACAATTGCTTGGCACAAAACCGAGTACTGACTCAGTAACGACAAATCTATCAGCGATCTCAATGTAACTTGACCCGGTGGCCAATAGCCTGACCTTGACTCAGCACCCTGGAAATGGTTCGAGCAAGCTAGACAACCATTCAAACGTTGAAGAGCTCATTCTGAATGTGGCTTTGAAAGAGTCAAGATGAGAAGAATCCCGGTTCAACTCACTGAGTCGATCGCGAGTTCGTCGTCTCTGTCTGCATGGGTGGGCTTAGAATCTGGTTCTCGTAATTGGGTTCCCTTTTGTTTCTTGGATGTCGGGAGTAGTGAGAGTGAACTGGTGGTTTCTTGAGAGGAGAGAAACTGATAAATGATTCGTAAAAGAATTCCACGGGAACTGGAACTGTGAGAATTTTGATTATTTCAATTGATTTGAAATTTTCTTATTCTCTACCAAATGTTCCTCTGGGGTTGAGAATGTTAGCTTAAGAAGTTAAAATGTATTATGGATGACATTGTTTAATTCATTTTTGTTTTCCTCTACTGGAGAAACGTCTTCTCACACAAAAGGAAATATCAAAACCCAAGCTTGGTTCATGTCATAACTTGGGTGATGTAACAGCTGCACACCCAGTTACCAAATTTTACAATATCAGAAGACAATTAGAGAACTGACCAACAAACAAGCCAAAATCGAAAAAAACTCAATTTTAAAATGCTTCTCTGGTATGCCCCCAACAACTTAGCTACTAAAGCATCCAAGAAACTTCTTTGGTGCATACCCGGTTGCTCGGAATTTCGCTGCGGTTTCCTCTACCTTAAGACATTCTTCGCTTTTTTTCGCTTCAATCATTGCTTTCTTCTCTTCAGCAGCCTTGTGGAGTTCGGCTGCTTTGTTCTTCATTTTCTCTGCATATTCAGCCTTCTTCCTCTCCAGTTTTTCCTATCATGCCACAAATTAATCGAGACACTTTTAAATCAATAGTTCATCGCAACAATATGTTACACAAGAACTTTGAACGTCGATGCAGTTTATTATGTGGTCAAGAAAATGAAGATGCGATATTACGCAATTGATACTTCAGTTCATAAGTTTTTTACCTCAAACTTCATTATTTTTGCCTCCACTGATACTTTCTTGGTTGTCTCCCATGATCCAATGGCAGAGAGTTTTTTGTGAGCCCTATTTGAAAATTCAGTGTGTATAACTAGCTCAGAATCAAGCTCTGAAAGTCATCATTGAGTAGGAATTGAAAGCTTTATGAAGCCAGGATTTACGTCCAACTTGCAGGACTGAATCAAATGCAAAAATCCTTGTTTAAAGAGGACATCGTGAATCATCTAAGATGGACCTTTCACCTTCGGAGAGTATAGATGAATTCTATAGAAATTTGAAAATGGAAATTCTAACCAAACTATCAAGTATCACACACACATAGATATTTATTGAGCGTCTTCGCATTTACATATCTGAAACATGTGCTGACGACAATGAACTTTACTTCTATGGCGATAGTAATGGAGTTTCGCTCTTAGTGATTCTATAGCTTAAAAGTGTCTGATCTGGTTCGGAAAATTTCTTCCAATGACGCATTTTTATAGCCTAATATTTTGAATTCCTGGACCCAATCCCAGGGACTTTCAAATACATTATTTGATGTTGGATGACCAAAAAAAAGCTGGTCAATTACATGCTGTAACATTCTAATTCAGGAGAACTTCAGACCCTAGCAAAGATGTACATAGTGCAAGTAGTTTGATAAATCGATTGAACCCGAGTCATTTGAAGCATGCTTTTATGCTTGATTTGATAACCTGGGTGTGGGGAGGCCTGCTTTATGGCAATACTAAAAGGTGGATAGTTCAAAGCTTTAGAAACAGTCTCTTACTTGTTCTCCACTTTAGCCTTCTCATTTTCTACCCATGCTTTAATTAGAGCATATCTTTTCTCAGTTTCAACCCTTGACAGGATAGCATCTGAAGATCGATATAAATCAATATGTTCTGTCAATAAGAAAAATATCAAATTTGAGAGCAGTAACTTCAAATGGTATCCTGCACACACCTCTATTACTTGATTCCCCTGAAACGTTTTCAGCAGCAGTTGGATCTGCAGCCTCTGATACATTGAAGATTCAATCATATAACTAGGGAACTTATATTAAAAAAGAAAAAAAAAACGTGGGGCTAGAAAAAGGCAAAAGATATCAATTTTCATGAAATATTAAACTATAAAGCTTCCCCTTTCCTGTCTTTCTATGTTAATTTCTCAGGAGAAGAATAAAAGGAGAACATACTTTCAGAAACTGGGACCAAGTTGTTCTCATTAGCAGCATCATTTAAAGAGGCTTCTTTCTCTTCTTTAACAGGTCCATGCTCTTTAGCTGGTGTAGGCAGAGAGACTGCCTTAGATTCATCTTTCTCGTGCTCCTCCTCCCCCATAAAGTACTATTTGAATTTCACCACAGAGACCCAAAAAACAATTTACAACAATAACTATCACCAAATACTAAACGAAAAATCCTATAAAGATTACCATCTAACAGAGAAAGAAAGAAACTGTTGTGAATATCGCTGGATTGTGGTAGGTACAAATAGAAGTTGGGTATGGACAAAAAAGCAATTTATTTGTGGGGTTCTTTGAACTTTCTCAGGAAGGAAAAAGCTATGCTTTTGTCTTTTTTTGGATCCAAAAGTTCATCCAATCTACATCGAGCAACTGCCAAATCATTACAATATGGTAGTCCATGTGTGACATTCAAGACATGTAGATATAGACTAGCTATATGGAACTGAAGATTTTTTAATATCATAAGAAAGCGATTTACTTAATTTATAGTACTCTCAACTTTCAAGCATTTCATGTATTGAATCATCAGGAAAGGTGAGTCTTACAAGACAATGAGCTGTTAGCATGCAATGGAAAGGGTTTTGCTTTGAGATTATTAACGTTATGTTCATACCTGAAACGAGAAGAGTGTTCGACAGACAGGAGGATGTCCCTTGCTAACAGAGGTGCAATCTTCGGACGAAAACAAAGAAAACCAAGAGCAAATGAGAGGAAAAGCTTGAAAAGGTGTTATTTTTAGGATATACCCTGAAATTAATCCGAATCAGCCATTATGGAAATTGTTTGACTGTTAAGGAACATAAAAAAAGGAAAAGAAAGACAAAACAGGTTGGATAGGCGACTGGGGCCACTTGGCAACAACCTTAACCTTAAAGCTTATGTTTCCTGAGAATCTCTGCATTTATATATTTTCTTCATCGAATATAAATTCTACATATAGAATTAAGGGTAATGAAGCATTGGCAGTCATTTCGGGGATGAATCCTTTTCAAATAGAAATTTTAATAAACTAACAATTCATAAATATTCCACCTCTACCCACATAATTTAAAATTTTCCAATATTGTTCTTACAGTTTTAGTTTATCCTCCACTACTAAATAAAGACCGCCTCTTTTCATATTTCATTTTTACTTTCATTGTTTTTCCTCTTTTGTTTCCTCTCAAATCTCTCTCTCTCTCTCTCTCTCTCTCTCTCTCTCTCTCTCTCTCTCTCTCTCTCTCTCTAAAGATTGTTTGATACCAAACGAAGGGCAGGGGCAAAAAAGAGGTTTACCCTTGATAATAAAGGACTGGTTAGGAGGTATGGTAGGAACTAGGACGCAGGTAAGCTGCTTACATCCTTGAAGGTAGCTTTACAACCATAAAGAAGCGTCAAACTAGTTGGGTCTACAAAGATTTCGAGCTGAACGAATTATGAAATCCCTCGTGGTAAGTAGTAGGTGAGAAGTGAACATCTCTTTGAGTTAATGATGCTGAAATCTTCTGAATCTTTTCTTCTTCTTTTTTTGGATTTTATCTTCACCTGCACTTTCCATGCATATAGGATATCAAATCCCACTCTCATGGACAAAAACCCCTCATTCTCTATGAGCTGAGGAGTGTTTGGGTGAAGATCAATTCATTGATCAAATATCTAAAAATGGTGAAAATTGAATTGAAACAAGAACCATCCAACTAAATATAACTAGATGAAAGATAAATTAATCTTGGTTATGATCCATCGTTGTTGAGTTGAATGTTTACTGAAAAAACTACATGGCTGCTCAAAATAATCACAGAAACTATCCTGAAAATCACTTAACATCAAGGAAATGGTATTTCTAAAATTAATTCCTTCGAGTTCATCCAATAGCTTTATGAAAACCAATACTGTAGAACTGTCTTCAAGCCTGACGGATAAGATCCAGAAAAATTAAAGCCTGCACTGCTTTAAGATCTCACAGAGATCATATTTAAGCAAAATAAATAAGTAACGTCAATGAATTATTCCATTTTAAAGTTAAATTCTTCAGAGAGAAGATACCAAAAAACATCCGCACCTATCATGAGTTACACGATAAATAATCGATGGAGAGGGTTAATGTTCTTGAGAAATTTGGAAGTTTGAAAAGCTTCAAAATAATTCAGGCCACAATTAATTTTCCTAAGAAGAAAAAATTATCAAGAGTTGAAGCTCGTCTGATGCCCCGTGCAAGGAGATCGATTGGACCTAAAATTAATTATGATTGAAGTAATCTTATCAAACTTTAACCCATCATGTTATAAAAACATAATTGAAATTAAAGAAAAAATTCATACAATGTCATACATTTATTATTCATCTCTACACTAAATTTGCTGTGGAAATCACCTTTCATGATGTCTCGAGGCAATTATATACACTATCTCATACAAATTAGGACAGCTAACCTAACAAAACCGACCATGGAATGCTTTTGACTTGAAAGTTCAGACACAGTGGTGGGAAAACTAGGAATGAATGAATTCAGCGGAATATAATTTATAATTTATAAATTTTAATACGAACCATTTACTTGAATGAATTCAGCGAAATATAATTTATAATTTATAAATTTTAATTTTTTTTTTATGTAGTAAAATAGAATCAAACAATGACTAAATATAATGCAAATAATTACAAAATCAACACCAAGATTTTTAACATGGAAAACCCGATGCAGAAAAAACCACGGAACCGTAATCTACCTAAAATCTTCCACTATCAACAAATAATGGGTTTATAATTGTTCTTTCTCGAATTCAACTAATGGATATAACATATATATCATCAAGAATAACTTATTCTCGAATTACAACAAGATTAAAGGAGAATTATTTGAAAAAAACTCACAATATTGACAGCCTCATTTTCTATTAAAACGGTCAGTTTCCACACCACTAATCTTTGATCAAACCGTTCAGAATGAAAAGTTACGTGTCTAGAAGCCGCTGTCAAAATTTCAACCCGATCTAACAGTGAACGAGGTGGAAATCAAAGGAAGAACACAGGCTGCTCTGCTGTCTTTTTTTTTCTTTTTCTCTCTTGATTTTCTTTTTTTTTTCTGTTTTTATGAACTGGAAATCAAAGGAAGAACACAGGCTGTTCTGCTGTTTCTTTTTCTCTTTTTCTTTCTTGATTTTCTTTTTTTTTTCTGTTTTTTATTTTTGCCACTATAATATTCGAATCATTTAATTTAAATATCAAAAAATAATCATATTATTTTTTAAAAATTAATATAATAATTTTACTATCATATAATACGTACCACACACAACAAATGAATCCGGAGTACTGTGATTCAACACTCATTTAAGCAGTGTAATCTTTTCTTAGTTTTTTCTTGCTCACTGAGAAGTCACAGTGCTGTGACTTGATTGATTAAAATACGTCCAGATCCTTGTCAGGGGAACAGGTTTCTTACCGTCTCAACGCATGCATTGTGAACTCATGGTATCAGGAGACTGTTTAACTAATTTTCAAACTATTTTTTATTTGTAAATTAATTAAACTAATATTTTTTATTTTTAAAATTTTATTTTTAATATCATCATATCAACATGACTTAAAAATATAATAAAATAATAAATTTAAAAAATAAATTTAATTTTTTTAAAAACCACAATATAACCACAATCCCCAAATGACTTAAAAATATAATAAAATAATAATTTTAAAAAATAAATTTAATTTTTTAAAAAACCACAATATAACCACAATCCCCAATAATCTAAAAGAATCATTGCCGGACACATGGTTTGTGGATTGAGCTTTTATTAATATCATGTTTGGAATATATATATATATATGGGATTTACATTTCCAATCGTTTTGAAGTTTAAGAATTGAATTTCAAATAAAATTTAAATTTTAAAAATAATAAAAATAAACTAGATGTTAACCCCTTAAATTTACTATATAAAAAATAAAAAATTAATTTTTTAAAAAGATAAGCATTCACTCATCATTATGTTTAGAGATATTTGAAGGAATAAGACAAGGGTGATGTAGAAAATAAAATAAATTGAATTTTTTATCTTTTAAGTATGTAAATTCAACTTATTTATTAATTAAGTCTAAATTTAATTAAAAATACAATTAAATTGAATTAGAGTAGAGAAATATTTTATTTTATTTTCATATGGCAACAACTCTCGAATGATGAGTATTTTGAGGATAACAAGCAAGCCCAGCATTCCATACCGATTTCAAGCGCATACGTATAGAACTCCTTTTCTTTTGATAATAAGCAAACCCAGTATTCCTAGTTACATCGCCACTCTTTTACGGCAACCTCTTAAACCATAACTGCGCACGAGATTTTCATCTCGCACTGCTCCTCGATGATAAAAGAAAGAAGAACTCATCTTCCTTTTTTGTTTTTTTTTGTTTTCATAAAAGAGGTAGTGGTGCAGAAACAACCAAGTGGTTTTTCTAGGAGCAGTCATCCTTGAAGAAATTTGTGTTTTCTTTCAACATAAACCCTTAAAAAGATTTTGCATTCCCACTCTTTACAAGAGTGGCAGAGTACTTTTGATATTATAAAATTGATCCAGAAACTATGCCTTTCAAATTATTTTGCACAATACAATTACTTGATTACAATTAAAAGCAAAAATAATATTTTAGCTTGAGTCTACTGGCTTTTTTATATTTTACTTTTCATAGCATAATAAAATAACTTTATTGCTTTTAAAATTAAATATATTTAGAAATAATTTTATTTTAAAGTTTTTTCGATGATTAACATGCAGTCTTAAAAGAAATTTAATATTTTAATAAATATATTTAAAAATAATAATTAACATGTATATTGAACATGTCAATAAATAAATCATCATGTCATATTTAAGTTATTATGACAACAAAAAATAACTTTCAATTTATTAAGGCGGAACCCATCTCCTTGGATGAGAAGTTTGGCATATTTTTTCCTGGGTCGGTAATGATTGACCTTTTTTTTTCTTGTTTTTCATGTGTTATCATTCAAAATTTCACAACAACTTTTTAATTTATTTTTATTTTTAATTTAGTTTTTATTCTTTAAATTAATAATATTTTATTTGAATTATTTTATATAATTGAAATGTTTTTTTCAATTTCAACCTTTATTTTTTTAATCTATAAAATTTGATTTTCATCCTTTTAATTGCTATTTATTTTATTTAAAATTATAATTTCATCATTCTTCATTTTTTATTGCTATTATTTTTACTTTGACAGATTTTTGTAATTTATTTTATTTTTCTGATTCCATCCTTTATCATTTAATTGGGTTTCTTGATTGAGTTCAAGTTTAGGATTTAACAGATTATGAATTTGAAAGATTAAGTCAGGTTTAAGAGACTCGTCAAGGTTTATTTTTTTTACCTGTTTTCAAGTTCATATTTTTCAATTTTATCCTTCAATATTTGATTTAATTGGATAATAGACCTCATTATTTTGTATTTGCTTTCTATAGGATTTTCAACTAATTTTAAAAATAACTTGGGTTATCTCATATCCTTTTTTTTGTTCTTTTTTTTGTTAAATTTAGCTTTAGAAAAGAATTTTTTAATTAAATTAAATTAATTTTTTAAATATAATTACAGCATGCTTATTTCATGATATTTTTCTTTAATTTGGGGTCATTACTCAAGCGACTCATACGAGCTCTTTTAGTATCGTCATGCAACTTTTCACAATGACATTACAACCATCTCAGTGAGCTTTTTCTAATAGTGGGTCAGTATCCATGATGTAGCACAAGCCACCAATCTAGGTTTATTTTTGTTATTTTTTATTTTTTTACTGACTATTTTTTTAATCATTTTGGCTTTCAATATTTGATTTATTAGAATTGAGCTTCCTATTTTGTTTCGATTTGGGTTCCATAAGATTATTAATATCTCATGTCCTAAATTGTAGGTTTTATAGATTAATTATGATTATTCTAAATTGATGTAATGTGTCGTTACCTCAATATTTTTAAAATAAAATATTATTTAATAAGTCATTATCTTAATATTTTAAAGGTATTTTTTCATGTAAACATTAAATCTTTAACTTTCTAATATCTTTATATTTTTTGAAGATTAAAAAAAAAATAACATAACCCATTGCGTAACGTGTACAAATAATCTATATAGTTGTCAATGTGTTACACGATGTTGTTTCCCGTACTCTCCTCGATGTGTTCCACGCATGCAACAAGGCCATAAACTTCCCCAAAACTGGTATGTATCTTTGCATCTTGGCAACTACATAAAATTAACGAGTGTTTGCTTGTTTGCATAAATTAAATACATGGGCGTCAACGTCCATGGTATCCCTACTTCTCTCGCCACATGCAGGCTCAAGTGTAACACTTCGCTACAACTAGTTAATTAAACTTATTTACCATCCTTTTATATAATTAATGGACGTGTTTATTCCTGAAGAGTATGTTATGCGGAGAAGAAGAGAAAAAAGGGGAGCTGCAATTGCGGAAAAAAGGACAGAGGAATCAGGCAAGAGAAATGCAGAAGAGATCAAGAGAGTCCATCCATCACCATTTCGGCTAGAGAATGAGTTCTTGGTTGCCAGTGGCCTTAGTGAAAGTGTACTCTTCAGCTGCTTCTCAGCATAGGCATTGTCGTACTATACAATGTAGTGTTAATCAAACAGTCTCTGTGGGTTTAGTTTAGGCATAACAACTATCCTGATGTAGAACACGTAACGAGTAAAATACATGGAAGCGTATGCCAAATCGCCTGCAATGGGTGCGTTATATATTAACTTTAGCATATTACCACTCCATGATAAAAATAATTAGTAACGAGGCTTGAATGAATTTTCTGTGTTTTAATGTCTGCAGCAAGCGAGGGAGTGAGCTCGCAATGGTGATCATCAGGTCGAAGAACAGGACGCGTCATCTGCATTTCTTATGTTGAATTGGGCCGTCTTTAAAGATTTATGCCCCAGTGGTCATTCATGTACTTGGGCTTGGCGGAGGCTGTCTTTTATCTCCTTCGGGCTTGGAATTGAAAAGGCATGCTCTTATAGATTGGTGTTTAATGCTATTCGGTGGGTTGGGTTAAATTTTTTTCAATATAGATTCGACCAATTGCAACTTCTTGAGGGCCCATGTGTTATGAGGAAGTTACTTTTTATTAACTTTAATTACTGCACTGGTATAGTGTCAGGATGGCCGAGTGGTCTAAGGCGCCAGACTCAAGTTCTGGTCCTCGAGAGAGGGCGTGGGTTCAAATCCCACTTCTGACAATTTTTCCTTGTTTATTTTAAATTTTAGAAATTCGATTGAGCGAGTGTCGAGCCCATTTTGGACAATTCTCATTCACAAAATTCACTATCACTTTTAGAAGCTCCAGGCCCAATTTCCTTTAGTTTTGCTCCGGTTCCGTCATTTTTCTAAAAATAAAAGGAAATTTTCAAGTATTGATAATGTTTTTTTAATAGAAAAATAAATTGTGTGAGGATTGGTTTGAAGTAGCTCATTTAAATTGATGGGTTTAAAGATAATCCAAATAATAAATAAAAATATAATTTAATTAAAAAATTCAAAACAATATCATTTTAAAAAAAATACTGAGACAACAAGATATTAGATCAACTCGGATCAATACAAGTTAACTTATCAAATCTATGACTTTGATTTTAAGACTGTGATAACCTCATGTAAAATATATTAAAATAAATTATAAAATTTAATTTTTAATCAATTTAATGATGAAGAATGAAATTGAAAAAAAACAATTAAAAAAATAAGAAAACTTTATCCAAGTTAACCTTTTAAATTCATAGCTTGAACCATGAAACTAGGATAATCCCATATAAAATAAATTAAAATATATCATAAAGTTTATTTCCCAATTAATCCAATACTGAATGATGAAATTTTAAAAAAATCAATTAAAAAAATAAAAATAAAAGAACCAATCGAGTCAAGTTGGCTTAACTCACCAAACTCATAAACTAGGTTATGAGATAAGAAAAACCTCATAAAAAGTAAATTAAAAAATAGTCCAAGTTAACTCACCAAATTTGCGACCTAAATCATAAAACTATAATAACCTCATAGAAAACAATTTGAAATAAATTATAAAATTCAATTCCTAATAAATCTATTTTTGAATGAGAAAACTTGAAAAAAAAATCAATCTAAAAAAATAACACAATAAAATGACATGTGTCTGCACAAGTTAACTCATAAAATTTATAACCTGTATCATGAAACTAGAATAACATCTTAGAAAGTAAATCAAGATAGATCATAAAATTTAATTCTTAATTAATCAAATATTGAATAATAAAATTTAAAAAATATATCAATTAAAAATAAAAAAAAAATTAAGTCAACCAAATTAATTTATTAAACTCACAAAATGGTTACATGACTGAAATAGTCACATAGAAACAAACAATAACAAATCATAAAAATTAATATTTAATAAATAACATGTTAAATAATGAAATTAATTAATTTAAAAAACATATTTCTATATAAAAAAATAAAATAAAATTATTGCAATTAATAGTTATTTTTGTAAGTCGGTGGACAATAAAGCAACCACCTCTTCTAGATTTAATTTGCTCACAGTATAATGCGAGCACGATAACTAATTACATCTAATTAAATTAATCATGTTTTGCATTAAGCTTAAGGTCACACACACACGACTCTTATGAAGGTGAACGACTTTGTTTCTTGCATTAATTCAATTTCTTGCTAGGGTGTGTGTGAGAGAGATCACGTACGACAATGGATAAAGGATCACTGGGATTGTGCTGGACGGTTGACCACCGGTTTTTTTTATTAGGAACCATCACCAACTCAGCTTTTACTTCCATAGAATTTGGTTAAAACAGGCCATCTAATTAACTACATCTAAATACTATTGCTTGTAACCCCAGGAAAAGATAATGGTAGTCTGCGGCATATATTTGGTCTCCATCATGAGAGGTATTCTGTAGGTGATCCATTGTTTTTTCACGAAAAAAAAGAGGAAAAGAAATAATAACAGAAAACAAACTATTCATTTAATTTGGACATCGTGTGGTTAAATAAAATAAAATCCGACATCAATATTTAGGGTTTGCAATTTGGTAATGATCAAATGATCCAAGCATACAGAGATAGCTGGGGGATATACACTCACCCACCATCGTTTGTTTTGTGTGTTCATGTATATTAAAATAATCTAACAAGAAAAGGAGTGCATTATGTCACTTCGGGTAGATCAAGCAGAGGAAGGAAAACATCGGGTAAGTTTAGGAGATCGTACAATTTAATCATGGAAGTTCGTGCTTGGGTTGGGAGGGGGTGAAGGTCTTATTACTTGCTAGTTGTTTCGATTTCCACATGATTAATATCCGTGGAGTCGCTGGAATGAGACACCAAGTTGACAAGAAAGTCAAAGATATCTGTTGCTGTAACAGCAGAGGCCACATCCTCTTTGTGAAGTGTCCTCCTCTTGCCTTGGATGGTGATCATCCAAGACCTATGTGTTAACTCCTCGATGAAGAGTTCACATGCTTTTGAGAACACAATTGGGGCCTCACCAGATATCATCTTCACATCATCGCCGGATTTCTTCATGATCTTCTTGATTCTTGCCAATGGCAATGAGTGAGGCCCAGTTTTTCCAGATAAACCGCCAGAAAGTATTCCTGAGTATGTCCCAGCTTGCCTCATATTGTTCTTATGTCGGGGATCCTTGACTCCAGGTAGCGTCGAGGTAATGATAAGAATGTGAGAGGGAGTGCGCAGTTACAGTTCATAGAAATTAATATGGTGAAAGATTGCTGTGATTGCATGAAGAGATTAATATTCAACTTATAAGAGAGGGACGAGTAAAGAAATACATGCACAGGCCGGCCGGCCAGCTTGCCTAGGCCGGCTACAGTCATATAAATAAAATACAGTTGAGACGTTTAGAATTTTCTTCCATTTTCTTGCATCTATTCTAGACTTCTAGCTCGTGGACTTGTTACCGATATGGCAGCCATTGGACACTAAACAAAACAATGGCGAAATATCACTGCAATACGTTTTTTAGTACTTCTGCTAAATGGGAATGCAAACCGTTGTTTTAATTTCCTCTCCAATTTAAATTAAATTCTCTACGTGCCACCCATATCCCTACATAATTACTTGAAGTAAATAGAAAAATCCTTCGCTTTTTTCAAAGTTTTAAGAGCTATTATGCATGCTATAAGTAACTTGATCAGAGACAGATTCCTTCGAGCCCTTAGTTTGAGGAGGGAAATAGGAAATGGTTCTCCTCTTGCAACGTCAACTTCGAATTCTTACATGCAACGAGGCAACTCTACATGTGCAAGGAGAGGGTAATTCAACTATGCCCAGATCCTATGAAGTATTATTAGGTTGGTTGAAAATTAATTGGATCCACCCATCGATGCAATGAATAATTTCTTTTTAATGTATTGTGGAAGCTTAATGCGATAAATGTTTTAAAAGGTAAGGTTAATTATAAAAGTAAGGTTTTTTTAAAATATAAATTATATCTTTTCTTAATTAAGATTTAAAAGAAAATTATTGATCAAATTCATGTAAAACCACGTAATTATTTTATTAACTTTACATGATTGATTTTTTTTTTTTTCAACAACGGACGCGTAGTCGACTGGTTAATTAGAACTGATGGTGACTTCTGCAGTGCCTTTGTCATAAATGCAATCATGCAACGTGCATAAATTAATTATGAAGGGTCCAGATGCTTCGTCTTATGATATGCTCCACAGCACAAAAATATTTATTCTTCAAAGTCAATTGCTATACTGCTTTTATTTTGAGAGAGAGAGAGAGATTGTCACTGGAATCCGGCAATGGTTGGTGGAATTCGAGCTTGATACCGGTAGATTTTAATCTAAAATAGTTGTTTATAAATAATTTTTGAGGTTAGATTTGAGTTTAGAGTCTTAGGTAAGCATGGATGCATATTTTTCTGTAGGATAATAAAACCATAAAAATTGATTTTGGTGGTGGTCGGAGCAATTTTGTCAGGTTCATGCAACGCCGCCTGATTTCGATAATGAGGAAGATGAATCAGGGGACGAAGGCTTTCTATTTCCTGGCAAGGTGAGGCCTGGTGGTACAACGCGTACTCGTGCGGGCCTGGTTTATTTAGGGTCATTTGGTACAAGGATATCTATAAATTGCGACTCAAACCATTAATTGATTACTGGTCACTCCTTTAACGTTGTGTTATCGGGGTATTAAAATCTTTTTATAAAATTAATTAGTTACTATTAAATTAATTAAAAATAATAAATCTTTTTACATTTTAAAAGCATAATAAAATAATTAATATATCTTTTTTGTATTATTAGCCAAGGAGTAATTTGATATTTAATAAATAAAAAATAAAAAAAATAAAAAAATAGTTAATATATGCAACATATAAAATATATTTACACCCTTAAAGCAATATGTGTGGTGTTTTTCAATAGCCAAAATCCTTTATTTGCCATGCCATTTGAAGCGTCCCTCTATCCTCATTTTTTTTTTGTGGGACTTATGTGATTAATGGCAGCATGATTTATTTTCAGCGATGTTTTTTTCCCTTTCTCTCTCCAACACTTGAAATATATGTTAGTCATGCGAAATTTTAAAATTATCCTTTGATTTATGAAAAAATTCACTTCAATTCTTATTTTTTAATTTTTAATTTCTGTACTTAATTCTTTTGTAAAATTTTAATTTGTCCAACCCTAATTTTTTATTTTTTTTCTAATTTAGTCCTCATTTTTTTATTCTTTTTTTTTTATTTTTTAAATTAATTTTTCTTTTTAATTTCACCATTTAATAAAAAAATTTGGTTTTATTTTTTATTTCAATTTTTATCCTTATTAATTTGATTATTTTTTCTCCTTTTGTTAAATTATTTCTTTTAATTTGACCCTTCAATAAAAAAAAAATATAGCATTTTTTTTGTATGTTAATTTTGATCCTCATTATTTTGATTATTTTTTCTCTTTTTGTTAAATTATTTCTTTTAATTTGACCTTCAATAAAAAAAAAAGCATTTATTTTGTATGCAAATTTTAATTCTCATCATTTTAATTGATATTTTTTTTTAAAATTCTGTGTATTTCAAATTCCTTTTTCAATTTCATTTTAAATATTTGATTGGTTGATAATTGTGTTTCGTAGTTTTTGTAAATACAGTGTTTTTACTTTATTAATCTAGATCACGAGTTGATATTTATATTTTTTTTAATGGGTTTTATAAAAAAATTTATTTTCTTTTTAATCATATTATCTTGATTTCATGACTTTGCCTGTGAATCTGGTAGGATAACCCAGTTAGCTAACTTCTTATTATCTAGATTACATGTTTGTCATGCCAACTTGAGTTGATTTTATTAGTTTTTTTTTTCACCTATTTTTTGTCATTATATATTTAATGAGTTGAGAATAGTGTTTATTATTCATTCCTTTTTGAATTTTATTTTTTTTAGGTTATCATGATAATTTTTTATTGTATTTTATCATCAAATTAAATTAAAATAAATTTATTTAACTTGATCCACTTAAATCACATATTTTTTTTCTTTTTAAAAAATATATTTACACCACATCAATATTATTTTTTACATAAAAAATATTTAGTCTCCTATTCTCGTCCAAATGAAATGGACCTCGAAGGGCTTCGTAAGACATGACCTGAGCCCAGGTTTTATCCTAACATCGTTTGCCCTCTATATTATCTCTCTAGGGCTGTCCCAATCTTTACCGTGCGATTCGGGATTGTCAGGAGGCCCATAGCAACTATTTTCACTTTCCCGTCATCTTTCTTGAGCTAGACTGCACCAATTGTACTTAGCTTTTCCTAAATGCTTGATTCTTTAAACTGGTTCGATTACTAGATGTCTTGCTTGCTGGATTATATACACAGCATAAACTCCGTCTTTCTTTTGAAATGAGAGCATGATTATGGTTAATTTTTTTAATATTTTTTATTTTAAAAAGTTATAAAAAAATTATTTTTAACATCAATCATTAAAATAATTTTAAAAAACAAAAAAAAAACTTGAATTTCCTTTTATTTTCTGGGGTCGTATCTTTTGTGTGCTAGTAAAATTCAATTCCAATCAACTTGCAAGACAACGGGTCTCTCTCCCATTTTTTTTTTTCTGTTTTTTTTAAAGAAATCTATATATCAAGAGAGAGAGAGAAACACTAATTAACCAACGCAGAAAGGTGGGCCAAATTAAATAGAAAATAGGTGATGATGCCGGCGAATTCGATACAAAATCTTCTGCTCTTAATCACGACTCTTTACTATTAACCATGCCCCACAACCAATTTCAGCTCACACTTGAGACAGAAACACATGAATGTCTTTAGTCAAGTGAGATCTGTAGGCTTTAGGTTGTCTTTGCACGTGATTTCGTGACACTAGCGCACAGAACATACCTTTGCATATGTGCTTGCCAGCCTTCTCTCATTAACTAAGAGATGATAGCGCGCTGCCTCGAGGGGAGAAAAATGGGGGCAAAGCAAATCATGAGATGTGATGATAGCCGTGCTCGAGAAAGGCTTGGCCTCTTTCGGACCTCCCTGGTAGTGTCTCTCTAATGGGGTCGACCACCTTCACGTGAGCACCTTCTGTTGTCTCTCATGTGTGTGCATATGCTTCCTCATGATTTCTTCCTTCCTTCCTTCCTTTCTCTCTTCTCTTGATTTAGATGCACATCTTACTTTAATTTCTAATTCCTGGTCTTCGTATCTTTAATTTTCTTTTTTGTAGAGCATAGCGACGCTACCAATTTATGTGTTTTCTATCGTGTTAAAAAGCTAAAGTGAAAAACCTCAAGAAACTTTAATACCATAATCATGTGTGTGGATGAAATAAACATTTTATTTGATCTTTTTTACGCTTTCCCTCCCTTTGTTTTTGGTTCTTTAACAAATGAGAGGCTCAAGTTGATAAAGTAAAGCGAACATAAATATCCACTGAACTGAATCCTCCTTGTTAAATAAATTATTTTGATGAGTTTTCATGAATGAATGGATTTAGGAAGCTAAGGTTTTCTAAAATAACCTCAATTATACATATTGATATTGATGATACAAGTGTAAATAAAAAAAAATTAGTTCATGCACGCGTCAAATGACTAAGCATTCCTAGACCAAGTGAGCTTTTAATTGTTCGGGGTTTGCTCAAATGGTTAGAAATTTATCTTAACTCGATCCTAACTCACCAATTTAGTTTGTCAAATTTTACCTTTATATAGTTTTTTCAAGTTCTTGAGAGTCACGCATACAAGTTTGTTTTTAATGTATATATATTTTTCTAAGCATGCAATACTTTTTCTATGCACACTGTTTTTTTAACCATTAGTTATTTCATGGTACTGTGATTAATTAGTATGCATGATACAGAAGCCCTTAATTTTATATGACAATATTGCCGCCAACATTTCAATTAATAACAAACATGAACATTTAATGATTTAATTTTCTAGAGAATTATTTTTCTCCTCCGTAATATAAGCTAAAGAACCAAGTGTCTAAATATATCCCACCTGCGTGTAAGGAAAAAGAAGATAGGTCTTTGACTCAATATATAGCTATTAGAGGCTAGGCCACGCATTCCAATATATGACCAACCATTCCATAAACCATAATTTACCATCTAATAATTGCTTGAATCACCGACGATAATTCACCTACTCCTAAAATCACAATCAATATATTATACTTTTTAAGTTGAAATATTTAAATAAAAAAAAAAATTTATATTAAAAAAATATAATTTTTTTATTATAAATATAAAATATATATACTAAAAAGTTTTAAATATCATATTGAAAAGATATTATATTATTATTTTAAATGAAAGTATTTAAATCAAAATATTTTTTATCTCACATTGAAAAAATATAATTTTTTATTGTGAACATAAAA